GAAGTGAAAAGCAATAAATGTCTCTAAGGCTAGACATTTATTACATCCTCCCCGAGAGGAGCTCATTGAATAGTCAGAAGGCCGATGACATAGCCTTGGTTGCTCGGGAGCCCGAGCAGTTAAAAAGAGAAGACATTCCTCATAGGAAACCGTGCACACGTTGTCTGTGCCTAATGATCACATACTGGCCACACTGACAGCAATCATGAGTTTTTGAGGTATAAATACTCATCGCAAAAGGCAAGGTGGGGGGCAATGAAAAACCTTTGCTACAAATTATACTCAAGTGTTTTCTTCTTCCTCTCTCTCAAAAACTGACTTGATTGTCGGAGGAGATACGCCGAAAAATACTCTGGCGCCCTTCTAACTTGTCTTTCTTTGTTCCAAGAACCTTCCTCAGCCTTACTGGATCGTTCCATTGATCCACGAGGGTCTCCCATTATCGTTCTAGGTTACCACCAGACCTCACAGGCTGTTCCAAGCAACAGGGGTTGACCATTCGACTGACTCACTCGAGTTCACCAAGGGAGAGATCTATTCTCGTGTTTATATTGCGCAAGATCCAGCACGCACAGAAAGAATTTGGGTTTTCATCGATATCCAGATCTTCAATCTGATTGTTTGACATTGTTTCAACTGAATTTCCATGGGGGTTTTCAGAACTCAGTTGCATTTTGTCAAGATGTTCCTGAAGCAAACCCTCTACTCTCCTTTGCAAACTTAGGGGTATAACCACCAGCACAAATGGGTCAAAGCTTTCCAATCCTTACATGCTTAATGAGGTATGCCTGCCCCTCTCCCTCTCTCTCTCTCTCTCTCTCTCTCTCTCTCTTCAAAGTAGATGATTTTGTTGAGGTTTGTGATGACTTTGTTCACCTAGTGAAGCTAAAACTTGATTTTCTTGATTTTGAAAGTGAAAGTTTTAGAAAAATTGTGTTTGGGTTTCAAGAGAGTTGGGAATTCTGAATTATATTGTTGTTAAAGGGTCTCTATCAGTTGAGTTGCATCAAATCTTTGAAAGAGTACACATCAAATGATTTATGGGTTAGAATTTCAATCATGCGTTCTTTTCATCGAGTCTGGCTTGAAGAATTCAACTAAACCAATTCCATCAAATTCAAAAACGCATAACATATAAAATCACACCCAAACACATACATACATATGGAATAGATATACTAACCAGTGGGGTACTTGGGTTCCTCTCTTACTTTTCTTCTTAGCAGAATCTGGAACAAAGAACAGGTTTTAATGACTGATCTGATTTTAAGTTGCGCTAGGGTTTGATTTGAGAGGTTAAGCGCCGGATTAGCATTAGTTAAATCGATTTAGGGCAAAATTCGATTTTGGGCAAAAAATATTTAGGGCAAATATGGAGAATGGAGAATGGAGAAACTGCTCAGTCGATGGTGGAGGCTGTGGTCAGTCTCTTTGTTTAAGTCGATGGTGGAGTATGGTGGAAGTCGCTAGGTGGAGCTCGTCGGAGTCTTGTCTGGCTGAGACTGGTTGAGGAAGAGGAGAGCTAAGTGGTCTTACGAATAAGTGGTCTGAAATTATTTAGCCTCTAATGTGAAATTTAAATGGCGTAACGTTAAAATGCAAACGACCTTTTTAAACACGTCATTTAAAATAACGTTTTATGCCTTTTATTTTTTAAACGTATGTTAGGGACTCCGTTAAAAATTCTTATTATAAAACGTTATTACGAATGACGTTTTTAAAATCATCATTCTTAATGACGTTTTTGAAAAAAAAAAATTCAACTATACATCGTCAATTTAAATAATGTTTTTAGGTGAGAAAATATTATTTTAAATAATATTTTTAAAAAAAGACTGAATTTGAGAATTAAATTTAAAAGTGATTTAGAAATGAGATTATATTTTCAAGGCCATGAGTTTGGGAAAACCTCGGAGGGCAACTATTCGGCCAATCAGATCAACATTGGAATCGGTTAGGTGTACAGAGGAACAGAGGGAAGAAGTCACGCGTTTGGTGGTGAGCCTTCAGTTTAGCGTGTTTGGTGGTGGGCCCCACTTACTGACTTACTTGGACTTCCAACGCTGCTGGAACTGGAAAAACTGGACAGTGGTGGGGTCCAGACTCATATCTCTCACGGAGATGGAAGGCAACGATGGAATCTACTATTAATCCAGAAATATTAGTAGGTTTAATTAACAAATTTGATCAATTTAATCTGAATATTATTATTGTAAGGGTATAAATGAGTGAAAATTCAAGAATTAATCATTTTAATGCAATTTAAAATATTTGGAAATATTTTTTTTTTGGTGAATTGTATTATTTTTTATTTACAAAATATTTAAAAATTACAAAAAATTGGAGATGACAAAATTCAAAATCATGACTTTAAGAATCAACAATAAAAATGGTGTTATTAAATTAACTGTTAACCTCCAAAATACTTAGGAACTGTTTGTTTCGAGTATAAGATTTAGATGATATAAGATTTTATATCTATTCCATTCCGATCCAATAATATATTATACCCAGTCTTAAACTATAATCTCATTCTTCCCCTGGTTTGTTTGTCACAAATATAATTTGTGTAATACCTATTTAAAAAAATCAATAATTGTGACTATGACCCGTAAAAAGACAATTGTAACCTTGTAACCTTAAAAAGACAATTGTACATGAGAGTAGTTGCGTCTTTTTACTCTATTATACCTCAATCTTATTTGTATTGGACATATAATACCATCGGGCAAGTGGTATTCATTAAGACCATTTACAAAACATTATGATTACTATTCATAACAGGTCAGTATTACGATCCAAAAAATAGTACTGACTATAAGATGCTAAATAAATAAAATATAAGATAGATTCCACGTATTATTTCTTTAATACCACCTCCTTATCCAACTTTATTCCTTAAAACAAGCTAGCCCTAGAATTAAATAGAGCTAAAAAGCTTGTGTAAAAGGCCCACCTGCCGGATTAGAAACGTGCCAATCCGAAATCAGGATAAAAGCCTAAGATAGCTTCGGACTAGTATTTCCACTTGGTCCAAATCCAAGCCCAACTTGGTAATTTTAATTTGGCAACCCTTTAAGATTAGTGACTATATAAAAGAATTATAAATTCATAACAGAAACGAATTATAAATTTATATATCATAAGTTTGAAGTTTAAAATTTTTTTTATGGCCAGACATGAATTATTTTGTCTCGGTGTGGAGTGATAAGACCGAGGATGTCAAGTCCATGACTTGAATCGAAAAATGAATTAGTTGTAATCCAATAAAAGCAACTCGAATACACTGAATGCAATATGTAAAAAAAGAGAGAAATTATAAGTTTATTTTTTTCTAAAAATATCCAATAAGACCTTTTTTCGTTGCCTAAGTTTCACCTTGGAAATACCCTAAAAGAGAATTTTACTTTAAAAGAAAAGTTTAGAATCGAAACAAATTATAATATTTATGAAATTTAGGACTTCATTATATAAACTATGATAAATTTCATTGACAACCCTTGAATTTAAGCCATATTATACTGACACCTCCTCTAATTGTACACTCCTATAATTTATATACACAATTCACAAACTACACTGCTGTCTAATGTCGTTATTGACAAGCAAAAAAGTGTGATGTGATGATTTATGCTCTTATGAATTGCCAAATTTATCCCGACCATATAAAACAAGTTTAAAGTAGTATTAAACATCCTTTTAATATTAATTAAATTAAATTAAATTAAATGCTAATAGGATTAAATAAACTATATCGTGTAAAGAAAATGTATAAAATAAAATGTTAATTTTTAAAAATAATATTAATTTGATAAAACTAAATTTTAAATATAAAATGTTAATTTTATAAAATTAAATGACCATTTGATTTTGATTTGATGAAATTGAATGTTAATATAAAATTCAATAAAAAAAATGATGTTAGTTTGATAAATTTGATGTTAAATTAATGAAATTAAATGTTAATTTTGAATTAATTTGATGAAATTGATTTGGGTAAATTTGATGAATATTAATTTGGTGCTAATTTTATAAAATTGAATTTCGATTTGATAAGATTGGATATTAGCTTCCTGAAATAAAATAATAATTTTATAAAATTTAAGATCAATTTCACGTTAATTTAATAAAAATGTTGTATTAATTTGATAAAATTTAATGTTAATTTAATAAATTTGATAGTTAATTTGATATTAATTAGATTAAATTGAATATTAATTTGATGAAGTTTAATGTGGTGTAGATTAAATAGAATGTTAATTTTATGTAATCGAATATTAATTTGGTATTAGTTTAATAAAATTGAATGTTAATTGGATGAATTGAATGCTAATTTGATGAATGTGAATGTGAATTTGGTAAAATTTAATGTTTAGTTGATAAAATGTAATATTAATTTGGTTCTAATTCGATGAAATTGAATATTAATTTAGTGTTAATTTGATAAAATTTAATATTAGTTTGATAAAATTAAAGGTTAATTTGATAAAATTATAGATTAATTTTGTGTTAATTTGAGTAAGAATAATTAAATAAAATAGGAGTTCTAGTGAGGATAATTTTGTAAAATTACATATTATGTTTAGGTTAGTGATATTTAAAAATTTAGAATATATATTAGTGAAATATGAATTAAATCTCGAGGGTGTAAGTGAATTTTAACCTATAAAATAAAAATAAAAATAGAAAAAGTAATATTTATTAATAATTTGTCAAAAAAAAAAAAAAACTCGCAACTGTCTTGTCACGATCCAAGCATTTCTCTACTTTGGAAATATCCACTGCACTTTCCTGTGAAAGTACATCCTCCCTTTCTCTCACAATCAGTCGTTTCAGGCTTTTCAGCTACTACTTCATAGAAGGTAAACCTATCCTTCGCTGTTCTTTCCGTTTTCTCTCTCTAAATTCGATTGGCATATCTACGCATATATAGCGACCCTGATCGATATACTGTATTGAATTGTAGGAAAGAAAGAGAAAATTGTGAAAGTTGTCGTTGCATGACGAGCGCATCGGAGCTATTCTACAACAGGAGGTCTCGTTTGGGTCGAATCACCAACCCAATCGACCTAGGCGGAGGTTTTGTTTCCTCTATCGGTCGAATTTCTCACCACAACCCCAACAATCGTCGCATCGATTCTCGTCGTGATCGACACAACGTGGACGGCTCTGATCATCTCCGGCCGTCTCCTAATCTCAGACATCACTCTCATCGCACCCCTCCTTTTGTAAGTTCCAAATGTTTTAGTTCATTCATAGACGTGTTTAGTTATGCTGTGTTGATTGATATTTGT